CAAAGATCGGTGGAGTGTGCTAAGTAGAGATTTATGAACTTTTGAGAAATGATTCCCAATACGTCCATCATATTTTTTTGTTTTGTTATGCCTATAAACACCCTTTAGACCTATAGAAACTGCATTAAAATGTTTAAAATACTGAAGCCCTTCCCCCCCAGTGAACGTACATTTTTATAACTCTATGGGATAAGAAACACAGCTACATTTGTGTTATGCTGTGTTTTATTAGTAAATGAGCAATGCTTTTATAATGAGGACTCCACATGGAGTGTCTCTCCCGCATTCTGGCAGCATGGAGAGGATCTGGGAGTGCTCAAGTCCTGACCCTTCATTTGCTGTTCCTGGGTCCTGTTCCTGGTAACTATGTTGGTGGCCAAGGAAAGTTCACAGCAAAGATTTTCAGAGAAGGAGTAAGCAGTGAAGGAGGAGCTCAGTGATAAACAGCAGAGTTTTTTTTAATTACAAGTTGCAAATTCTCTTGCCTTAGTAATTCAGCCCAATGTGTGTTATATGTGTGATGTTTATCCATATGCGAGCCAAGTGAGCAAACTATCTGTATCAAGCAGATCCTTCTACTCCACATTTACAAGTAGCTTATTGCAACTGATCAGATTCGCCTCATAAATGTTAAGATGTTAAAAGGATGAAAGAAGATAGCCTGGTTATTGTCCAACATTACACCTTAGCTATTGTTCTATACTTTATGAAAAAAGCAACTTATTATACTTACATAGCAGCTACATATTTGCAAAAGGCTCTTAGCAATTGTTGTTTTTGGACCAATATTTTGGCAACATCTTAGCAGTAATTTAAGGTGTTTGTATTTATTGAATAATAATCTAAAGTACTTAAGAGCTTTTGGAGGCTGATCATTATTGCACCCTCTTTGATGATTTAAAAACAGTAGCAGATAAAGCTTAACTTTAAAATGGTAATATACTGTTAGAAAATGTAGAAAGCTCAAACTTATTAGATGATTATTTGCCTTCAGCAAGCCTTCTTCAGTCTGGAGCTGAAAAAAAGGAGAATAGTATCGTGTTTTATAAAGGCAATGATGTTATTTTAGTAATGACTATTCCACACATACAGCTGTCATAATGGGCCCTTGAAGCTTGGGTGTGCCCTCGGGGAAACAGTCTCTGTGTGAAAGCCACCCCATCTATTCACCTCTGTGTTCATGGTGGTATCATAATTGTAGTTGCAATTCAAGACAAAACATTATTTTATTTTGGACACACTGAGTAAGGGTTAGACTTTCTGATTCTCACCTTCTGTCCTGGTGACTACTGGTGAATGGAAAAATTCCCAAGGTGAGCACATAAAACAATGCAAACCTGACAGAGGTTATAACAGTTTTCCTCTCTAGCTAAAAGACAAAATAGTAGTTGGTCACCTTCACCTGGACTTGTTCTGTACTTTTTGAAGGTGATTATCCACTCATTCAAGCAACTTCCTCAGTTCTAAAAAGGGTCAGCAACATATCCCATCACCTTAATCTAATCAGTATAGAATATGGCAGGACAGAGGTTGATTGTCCAAGAACAAGACATGCATCTGCCTTGACACATTGCATGGTAATATCCTATTTGGTATAAGCCTTTATATTGCCACCATTTAAACTGTTGGGGTTGTAGCCCAGGCAGGAATGCTTGGTTGCTAAATAATGAAGACAATGGGGTGTGTTTAAATTTGATAGAGCTAGTTTGCAGGAAATGTCCCACAGATGAAGTGAGTGTGAAAGTGTGGGGCATGGAATTTCTGTTTTTGTCTTGGTGTAAACCAAATAAGAATGTCTAATGGATAGTGAGCTCCCACCTGAGATTCAATAGTTATCCAGCCGAGAGCATTTAATGTTGGGAGAAAGTACATCCCCTTAAGCACCAGATACAGGTTGGAGTTTTTTCATATCTAAGGTGGGGACATTATAAAGTTCTAAAGTTATGCAAAAGTTTCACCAGCAATGTGATTTTTATTGAGAAAATTCTGCCCATCCATGAAAGAGAGTAAGTGAACCATCTCTTTTATCAGTTTTGTAAAAAGACGTGTATAGTTAATGTGGATGTTAACAGTATCAATTTTATATCCCTTAAAGGTAATATTCAAGTTGGGGTGCAGTAGAGGAAGCATAATAGAGTGGTAAATTTAGGTCCAAAATTCCATATCGTCATATATGGATAAGGTAATCCCAGGGCAATGTATAAAAAACCTGATAGTGACATAGTAAGTAAGGTTGAATAAAGGTGCAGTTCCATCCAGTTCAATCTATGTATACGTGTGTGTCTGTATATACTTGGCTCTAGTAGCTCCCATATCCTTGTTTATTTAGTGAACTAAGAAGCTCATCTAAAATTGTCTTGAATTTATCAATGTTATCAGCAGATACTACTGATTGTGGAAGGGATTTCCACATTTTTACTACTCTCACAGTAAAAAAAACCCCTTGTGCAGTCTAAGATTAAACCACCTCTCTTCTGATGAAGGTCCAGGGAAAGTAGCATTCCCTTCCTGTTCCCTCCACCATGCCAGCCCCATTTTAATAGAGCGTTAAGGTCAATTATCTTTACAAGAACCTGTTTGGCGTTTGGCAGGCAAATATTTTCACTAGTAGCTTTAAAATTATAGTTGATTAACAATATCGACCTGTAATTTGCAACATTGATGAAACCTATGTTGGAATTAGGGATCATGCAGGTATGGGCTTTGTTGTAGTATTCATCTAAGTGTGTACCCTATTAAAGAGAATGAATTAAAGTATTTAACCAAGTCTGGAACTAGCTTTGGTGCAAAAGTTTTGTAATATAGTGTAGAACTTTAGAAGATTTTGGAGGCAAATAGGACCTCCTCTATGGTTATCTCCCTCGTTATAAATTCCCTTTGGGACTGTGATAGGGATGGGATAGCTACTGTAGATCTTCAAGGAAGTTATCAGTATTGTGAGTCTTGGCCTGACTGGGGGAGGTCAGAGTAGTATGAGTGAAATTTCCAGAGAACTTCTTATGGGTTTTGAGTTGGGGAACTATAAAGTTTTCTAAATTGGGGAATTGCAGTGTTTGATGGCTGGGGATTAAGGGGTCTATTCACTAAGCTGCCAAATGATCTAGCCGTAGCTACGGCTGATCCTACGGCTAGCTTTGGCACCAAGACCCCTTCGGTTCCGAAGGGCTGATGTACGGGTTATTCACTATAGCCCTTACAGCTGCCGACCGACATCTCACGGCTGGCTCCAGCCAATTGCACAGACAGATCAGCGTCCCTGGTTACCAGGTAACCCGGGACACTGATCTCCAGACAGCCCAACTCTCCCGGGCGCTCTGGGAGTCTCCCGCTATTAGATAGCGGCTCCCGGCTGCCCGGGAGAGAGACACTTTCTCCCAGAAAGGTTTACTCTGCTTGATGGAGCAGAGTAAACCTTTCCCTGCTCTGTTTCTTCTGTTTTTTCTTCTGACATCGGAGCCGTTGGCTGCCATCAGAATAAAAAAAAAATCACCATAGGAATGCATAGCTAGATTCCTATTGGCTATTTCAATTTGCAATAGCCAATAGCAAACTAGCAGTTGCACCCGCCCACTGCTGCTGTCAATCAGCAGAGGGGACCTGAAGTTCTCCATCAGGTCCCCTCTAGTGATTGACAGCAGCAGAGGGCGGTTGCAACAGCTAGTTTGCTATTAGCTATTGCAAAGTGAAATAGCCAATAGGAATCTAGCTATGCATTCCTTTGGTCATTTTTTATTCTGACAGCAGCAGAACCGCCCAGACAATAGAAAACAGTTGGGCGAAGATAGCTGTCACTGCTAGCTCCGCCCAATCATTTTCTATTTTATTTTTTACTACTTTTGTAACTGTTTTTCTATTCTGCTCAGTACCACAGAGGTACAGAGCAGAACAGCCGAGCTGAATGCCGCTCGGCGGCATTCGGGCTAATGACTCACTGCTGTTCGGCATCTATGAGAATAGGCCAAACAACAGCGAGTAGCCTGCCGAGGTTTCGGCTTAGCCGATCCAGATTCTGGATCAGCTGAGTCGAACTCCTTCTGCACTTTGGGTCGGCCGAACATGCAGAGCATGTTCGGCCGACCCGAAGCCAGCCGAAGCCACCCGATGTATGGCTGCAATCAGCCGTACCAGCCTGAAGTGAATAGCTGAACAGCGCTCGGCTCACTTCGCTTTGGGTCGGTTAGTCACTCGACTGCCTACGGCAGCTTAGTGAATAGACCCCTAAATGTTCTGGTGCAGTCAGTTTGAGTCTAAAATGTAGCATTTGTCCAGGAGCTTTATTCAACTTTAAGGCTGATTTTATTTTTTTTACTCCAGAGACCGGTGTGGGCTTTGTTTGTGTTCTGTAATTAACTGGACAAAGCTAAATCTTTTTGTTTAATAATTGCTTCAATGTTTGCATAAGACACTGATCAGAAGAAGTTGCTTGGATAATCTACTAAACGTCTTCAACATTTCAGAACAAGTCTATGTGACTACTACTGGCTACAGTTTGGGCTTTAGATATACTTTAAAGACTGGCAGTTTTTAGAGCAAACCACCAGACAAAGAATCCATAGACAGTTCCTGTAAAATAATTTTAAATTTTTGCATTAAATCTTGTGATTTACACACTTTTCCACATTGCACAGCTAGACAAGAGACACACATACCTAATTAATAAAAGCAGGTTCATTTCTTACACCCAGCCATCTCGTTGGGCATTACATTAGCTTTATCTCCTCTGTCAAGTGAGCAGGGAGCTGATGCAGGTAGTAGTAAGCTTACTGTGAAAGCAGAATTGTTAAACAAGCAAGTAGCCTGGAGAAGATACTGAATTTTATACTGAATATGAATTTTAACTTTGTTCTTGCATGGATTTTAATTTTTTATTTTGTACTTAAAAAGTTCCTTTTCTGACTGTCATGTATAGATATAGCTAACACATATTATACTTTCATACATTAGACCAATGTTAATAAATAAAATGTAAAATACTAATATTAATTAATTTGTGTTTCCAGGTCCAGGGGGTTCAAAGTTCACTATTGGCAAGTCCATCTGGCTACTCTGGGCTCTGGTTTTTAACAACTCTGTTCCAGTAGAAAACCCAAAAGGCACCACAAGTAAAATCATGGTCCTCATCTGGGCATTCTTCGCAGTAATATTCCTGGCCAGCTACACTGCCAATCTGGCTGCTTTCATGATCCAGGAGGAGTATGTGGATACTGTGTCTGGACTCAGCGATAAAAAAGTAAGGGATTAAGAATTCATAAATGTTGATTTTCATTAAATTTATAAAATGGGGTAAAACTTGGTTGTCAATGCTGATTATATAGGAAAAGCTGTTATAAAGTAGCAATTGTCAAGAGGATAGTCTTCCAGACATGGTGATAACTGATTGCTGAATGAATAAAGGAATCATCCTACTTTCACAGGCAAGAAATATCTCTCTGCTGTCCAGACAGAGGAGAGAAGCTTGATAGAAGCGCAGTTTATTATATTACATTATTAGCAAGAAGAGGGAGAAGATCCGATTCTAAGCCTATTGAAATTTAAAAAAATGTATTCTTTCAATAACCAAACAAGTTACCTTAAAGGAAAACTGTAATAGTATTGGCCCTATTGTTTAATGGTTGTAGGTTTCTAAATACATTTTTTATTTATCTTTTAATGATTACATGGTACATTCACGATTCATTGTTTAACATGCCCAGCATTACCTGTATGCTTTTTGGCAGGCTGTGTTAATCCACAAGTAAACAAATAATTCAGAAGGCAGCCAAATGAATAACTGAACCAAAGTGAAGTGAGACAAAGCCTGTTCGGCTATTAACTGCAGCCCTGTACGGCTATTTTGAACCTTACATTGGCTGCATTCGGCTCACTTTACATCCCTTTGGTTCAGCTGAACAGGCTCAGCCAAACCGAAGGGAAGAACCTGTTTGCCTCAACCGATGCAACATCTGGATCAGCTGAGGCAAACGTTCAGCAGTTCCTTCTCTGCTGTACGGCTATTCTCAAAGGGGATGAACAGCAGAGATGAATAGCCAAATGCAGCCAAGCAGCATTTGGCTCGATCATTCTGTTTACGACCTCTGAAGTAAGAAAATGTCAGTGTAAAAGAAAAAGAAAAAAAAGGCATGGGGTCCCCATCCCAAATCATACCAGACCCTATAAGTCTAGTAGCAATGTTAGGGGGGACCCCCAACGTAAAAAAGAAATGCTTTTGGCTGAGTGTATAATCAACAAGTTCATTAGAGGTTTAGTTCAAAAAAACAGTTAAGTTAAATCTTACACTTTACAACCCTTGCAAGACTTTTGTCTTGCGAGGGTTGTAAAGTAATTAAAAAAACGTACGATCTGCCCATCATGGACAGGCTTCCGATGACTACAATGCTGAACGGGCAGTGTGCGCACACCGGCCCGTTCGGCAGCTGTCGAACAAGCACGCCACTAACCTGCAGAGAATTGTAGGATTCTCGGCTGGTTTTCCAGCCTGCTTGTTCGACGGAAGACGAGCGACCGTACAGTAGAAACGGTCGCACGCCTTCCATACACTTTGCCATTATCGTACGATCGCGGGATTTCCCGCGATTATCGTACGATAATCGTACGATAATCGTACAGTGTATGGGCATCTTTAGCCTACTAAACATGTGAAAAGAAACCTGGAACCTGCTGACTGGAAATGGTAATCATAAAATACCTGTTTTCAATTTGTCGATTTAACAAAATCGAAAAGTATATACAACCCCAATGGGGATGTTGTGTAAAATCTACATAAAAACAGTATGCAATAATTTGCAAATCTTATAAACCCATATTTTATTCACAAAAGAAAATAGAAAAATATACAATTTTATACAATTTTAAGAAAAGAAAATGAAGTAATTTTAAAATTGATAGCAATTTTTTGCTTTACAACACTCTGTAAACATCTGGGAATTGAGGAGACCAGTTGCTGGAGTTTTAGGAGAGGAATGTTGTCCCATTCTTGCCTGATATAAAATTCAAACTGCTCAACAGTCGTCTTTGTTATATTTTTTGTTTCAAGATGCGCCAAATATTTTCAATTGGTGAAAGGTCTGGACTGCATGCATGCCAGTTAAGCACCCATAATCTTCTACTATAAAGCCATGCATCTAATGCAGTTTAGCATTGTCTTGCTGAACTATGCAAGGCCGTCCCTGAAAAAGACGTTGTCTGGATGCTGCTCTAAAACCTGGATATACAGTATCTTTCAGCATTGATGGTGCCATTCCAGATGTGCAAGCATGTTCAGATATGGCTTCTTCTTTGCATGATAGAGCTTTAACTTGTATTTTTGGATGGCACGGCAAACTGTGTTCACAGACAGTGATTTTTGAAAGTATTTCTGAGCCCATTTAGTGATGTCAATTACAGAATCATGCATAATGCAGTGCCATCTGAGGGCCTGAAAATCAGGAGCATCCAATATTGCATTTTAGCCTTGTCCTTTGTGCACAGAGATTTCTCCGGATTCCCTGAGTATTTTTATGATATGTTTTACTCTAGATGATGATATATTTAAAGTCTTTGAACTTTTACATTGAGGAACAGTATTCTAAAATTGTTTGACAATGTTTAGATGCAAATTGGTGAACCTCTGCCCATCTTTACTTCTGAGACACTGTAATTTTCTAAAGGTGGCAATTCACCTTACAACCATTGTACAACTTTTTTTGTCCAGACAGCTCACCCTCATTCAATTTTCTTACAACTAGCCCATCATGCAAAGACCAATGTAGTTCACAATTAATGTTCGTCAGCACCACCACCTGGCCGATCGAAAGGACAGATTTTCGTTTGAGCATGTGCAGTTTTCATCTTGAGACTTTTGAAGTACAACAACGCCACTAACCTATCAATTTTCGTCGAACTACACAAAGGTTTTCTAGCCTGCTTGGAAAATAAAAATCTGCCAGTTGTAGAGTAATTGAAGTTGTGCACTTCCCATCAACTGGCAGATTTTCAGACGAAAACGCAATTGCACACAAAAATCTCCAGATAATTGTAAGGTTATGGGGTTTACTGCGCTTCTTCAGGAAAAGGGAATATCTGTATAATTTAAAGAAAAAACACAATAAACATGATCTGTACATACATGATTCTCTATATAATACTACATTAGGTGGAGTTCTCACCTACCAATTTGCATAAGCTGATATGTGTGTATCTGGGCAGGTCTATCCGAGCAGCGCGCCTGCGCAGTCCTCCCCAGTGATGGTACGGGTGAGGTGGAAACCAGGTCTCAATAATGAGCAGGAGGTAGGAGGTGGGCGATACAATAGAAGCCTAGGATAAATGAACAAAGAGGCATGGTCACAAGGCCACAGTGCAAATCATATGGGGGCCAAGACTAATACATGAATGGACGAACAACCCCCTAAATTAATCAAAAATATACAGGGGCAAAGCAGCCAGCACAACTTACATAAAAGAAGTAAATCAGGTCATTCGATTTGCAATCCGACAAGTTAGAAGAAGATGAAGAACGGAAAGAAGGGATATCGTCCCATCTACCTCCAGAAATTCTGTCCTCCAAATGCCTCCAAGCCACCCACACCCAGCGCCGCCGCCTCCCGGTCGAAAAGTTAGAAGAGGAGAGAGAGGGCGGGAAAAAGATAATGTCCCGTCTTTCTCCAGAAGGTCTGTCCTCCAAATGCCTCCAAGCCACCCACACCCAGCGCCGCCGCCTCCCGGCCGCATACTGGTGTCAGTGGCTTACACGGGCGCTATAACGGCATCCAGCGAGATGACGTCAGATGTGTCATCGCGCCGTCCGAGAAACACCGCCCATTCATACGCCCCTACAAGATCCATCTGATGGGAGTGACGTAGCCTTGCTCCTGTATTCAAGAGAATCCTCCTCGACCGAAAGGGTTGAATAAGGGGCTAGTTGGATGGGTCTGTCAAGATGGGAGGTGCAACCGAGCTCCATAGGCAGAGGCATAAAGGGTAGAAGGGTAGGGGTTTTTTTTACTCGGGGGTCTGATACCGGCCGCCCCTATTAGGGGTCGGCAGCGCCCTGCACAGTGCTCTCAAGGAAAAGAGGGCTTCCAACGTCCCCAACACATCACTGAGTGTGGAAAGCACAAGGGGGGTGCCCGAACGGCCCATCCCAGGTACACACCAGTCAGAGCATTAATAATATATACAAAACGAATATCATCACAATGTGTGGACAGAACATATTTTATCCATTACATATATATGTATTTAATCAATTGACCAACATCAGTTCCAGTACAAGATAGTGTCCATAACAATACAAAACACATTTCATGGAATCAAACTTTTTGTTTAGATCTCTATTTACATTCTTTGTTCAACTTAGTATAGCAGTACGCATGACATTAAGAGATAATTCAAGATGCCTGACCCATCATAGACTGTCAAATATATTAGGAGGGGTTCACTCTCAAGGAGCCACTGGTGACGTGTGAGGTCAGTTAGAAACCTAAGGATCCTCTAGGGGGTTCTCTGGTTTTTGTGGGCCGTTGGATGTTTAACGTAATGTTATGGCATTGCAAAAATAGCCTATTCATGCCCCAAGGGTCATGAGGTTGGTCAGGTTCTTAAAAGTGTTCAGAGGGTCCAGTCTTGCGGGTTGACTAGTACAGTAAAAGGCTAGTTAGAGTCATCTAATCTTGTGGGGGTTTTTTATTTCATTGGTTCTTCTACTGGGTGTTTGTTGTAGCCTAGTGGAAACGGCCTAATATTGCCTGATGAACCTGAAACGTTTCCCGCACCCATATACACTAGCTTAGCAAAGTGTATGTCAGGGCGGTATACTCCCCTGGTATGCAGTATATCAGCCTAGATAAAATTTTCTGCACCCAAGTGAACTAGCTTAGCAAAGTGTTTGTCAGGAAGGTATGCTCCCCTGATATGCAGTAAATCAGCCTAGAAAGTATTCCAGACATAATGTCACATTCATAAGAGTTCTTTTTAGGAGCAATCATTTTGCTGGATAGGAGCCTATGTGGGTAAAAACCTCGGATTTGGAGGGTACATAAGGTGGAGAGGGAAAAGGGGGGGGGAGGAGAGGGGGGAAGAAGGAGAGGCAGGGGGGAAAGGGAAGAAAGAAGAGGGGAACAAGGGGTACGAGGAACAGGGGAGCAAGAACCACAGCTTGCAGGACCCTACACCCCAGAATAAATCAGGAGGTAGAATGCCTGGTCCCCCCCATTCCCCCACTGATCGATCCACCAGTGGATCACAGTAAAG